TTTTTTTCTTTTTTTCTTTTTTTTCAAACAATGTAAAACTGTGTTTTGATGACATCACAGAACTTTAGTTTGCCGGCCGAAACACTCGAGTTGGAAGTTGCATTAAAGTTGAACAAGTGAGGCTAAAGTATGTTGGAAATGAACACTGCCACCCTGTGCTTGGAAATAGTATCCCATGTGAATTCCCTGCTGCCACAATCCTGACTGTACTGTTGTTGACACTTGTTATACACTCAGGCTTTCCTACTTGAATGGAAATTATTAATAACTTCTTGCTGTGGTGTTTTAGCAACATATCAGCTATTTTTTCACTATAGATGGGTTTAGTTCCTAGTTTGGTACGAGGGGCTGGGCTGGACGTGGGACCTCAGTACTGTGTGTCGATCCCACAGAACTGTTCTGCACATTCTGGTTCCAAAAGAGGATGTCAGTGCCTGTTTCTGAGATGTCTTGACATCCTTTCTACAGATTTGTGATGTTGATTGTCTTTATATTCAGTGTGTTTTAGAAATACATAGACATCTTGGCACATTTTAAGGTTATATAGCAAACCTGTAAGCAACAGTGTTTTATTTGCTGCAGAAAAACAAATCTCCTAAAGACCAGAAAAGATATACATATACAGTCTGAAAGCCAGCATGGAAGTGATTCATACTTGCATTCTTTTAAATGGCCACCAGGGAGCGACTCATCAATACAAAATATATTTTATAGTCCAAAAATCTTTGGTCTGGCTGGGAAAGGGTTCATTCTAGTCTAGCATAACATATTAGCTTTGCTTTATTAGTGCTCAATCCCCACTAACTTCCAAGTGTAGGATATACTTTGCACACATACTTGTCCTTTTATATTTATCTGTATATTTATTACTATATCTATATATTTATCTAATTCTACACTCATTTTATATGAGTGCTTGATTTTTGTTGTATATTTGCTGCTATGACAACTCAATTTCCCTCTGGGATTCATAAAGTCTCTCTGATTCTGATTCTGGTAAAGATGCTAAATCCCCTCACTGTTTTTACCAGCTAGTTTCTAGCTGCCTCTGTTTGATGTTCAGACAGTACGGCACAGTTGATTTCTAGCTTTGTTTCTTATAGCGGCAGCAGAAAGCTGCAAAGGCAAATAACATAAAACACGGCTTAACCAAACAGAGACATTAAATTCATTATTAAAGTTATTACACATCCTAATAAAAATGTGATGCAGTGAAGAAAATAATTACTGGATAACTGTGTAAGAGTTGTAGAGTAACATATTATCTTTGTCTCCGTAGTTTATCCAGGTCACCATGAGCATTTGAAGAGGACAGCACAAAACAGAGGGACACCCACCACTTTATAAAATCTTATATTAATGGAATTTAATTCATATGTATTTTTACACACATTATTGTATAAAATGTCACTGAAACATTCCATTTTACCAAAAACCTTTTGTAAAGTAATGCATAGTGTTAAACTTATGAACAAGTAACCTCGGTGTGTGCTAGTGTCATTTCAGTGTCCGTATACTGGAGCTTATTAGTATCACTCTTACATCTGCATGGGCTCTTACCACTAGAGTAACGATGTAAACCTGCAGGCTGGTCAGTGGCATGTGAACATTAATGGAATTAATAAAGAAATATTATATGAATTTATATATACGTTGTTTCTTTTTACTTGTGTTATCTTTGGTTTAAGTTTTTGTCCTTTTAAGGATATCTTTTCTGTCCTTTAAATCCATCCAAGACATGCAATTAAATAATTATGGTGCTTATAGATTCAGTGAAGCCTCAGGTTAATTACACTATTTGTTATATTATTAGCTTGTGAGTTATATTTTAGTTATTTTATTAGGATTTATTTCATTTGAACATTTAAGATGGTCAATATGTAAACTAGTTTTCGTGACTGTAAACCCATATCTAGAAAAACAAATGATTGCAACAGGTCTGCTTAAACTCATCTGCAAAACCACAAAGTAGTCTCAGAGTAGAGATGTGCAAAGCAGCCGGTATTTGTATCTTTATTTGTATTTGTTGAGGAGGGAAAAGTATTTGTATTTGTAACAGTCATTGGCTGTTATGTTATTTATGTTATTGTCAGCAGTGTTGGGCAAGTTACTTTGAAAAACTAATTAATTATAGTTACTAATTACTTCTTCAAAAAAGTAACTGAGTTAGTAACTGAGTTACAAGATTTTTAAAGTAATTAATTACTTGAAAAGTACGTTACATTAACAAAATTGTTTAACCCTCTGGGGTCCAGGGTATAATTGGCCATTTTTGATTACTTTTGATTTTCCCTCCACATTTTACCTTTAAAAACTTTTCAGCACAACCTCACGTGTCTGAATTTACAGTTATGTTTTCATTTCGACATACTGTATTAACACAATTTATCTAAAATCAGGAAAACATAAAATCCAATTATAAACTTATAAGTTATAAACTGCCTCCGGAACCCAGTTAAGGTACAGAAAAATCGACTCAACAAAAATCGTGATGCAGTTCACTCTTTTTTCGCTCAGCCGAGCCTTCTCTGTTAATGTGTGGAGCAGCCTGTGTCAGTCACCTCTTTCACACATCACTCACTCATGCACAGCGGTCTCATAAGGAAACTCAGCTCTTTGATATAAAGTTTTTCCTTCTTCCCGAATACAAATATTTTTTTAAAGTATTTGTTTGAAATAAATATTCGTAAAAAACACGTTATTTGTGCCTTTCCAAATACCGTATTCCGGCCTCCACCCCTAGAACGGAGTATAGGTTCATCGGTTTATAGTTACAGTTTTATCTTGAAAAAAACTGGAACACCCACACATTTTATCATTACACCTCTTAAGGACAGCTGGACCTGTCCTCAATTGATCAGGAAGCACTGAACCTCCTTCCCTTAGTATTTAAAGAATCCGGTTATTTCAAGTCACATATTTCAGCACATAAATGTAATAGCATGAGAATTTGGTTGAAATCTAAAAAGGTTTTTTTGATGATGGGTTTAGGATGATATGCAGTATGTACACCAGGAAATGTAAGAGTGCTTACTGTTGATGTTCTCTTTTGATGATGAAATGTATTCAACTTAGATGATACAGATGATGAAATTAGTGTGAATGCAATAGTTTAAGATTATATTATTATTATATATAATAATCCAATTAATTTGTGAATTTGTCCATTGTTGTATAACCACCAATATAAACTTCAGTTCATGAAGAGCTGGGACCAAACTTATCTGCCTTATGGAAGTTTTTCAGAAGGATGGCGACCCCTACTGACCTGGAGGTTCCATGATGGTTTAAACCAAAAAGCATCATCAGCTTTTTAGTAAGTTTATTGTGTTTGTTCTCATTCCTTTAATTATCTAAATGGTTGAACAGAAGACCACAAAGCTGCAGACAGTTATAACTATCTCCTGTTGCCCCAAATGTCAGTATCGTAAACATAGAATGAGTGTGAAGTAAATTTTCTGACTTCATAGATCAATTGTTTAATCTGTGTAAGATATTGTTTCAAGTGGACATCATTGTCAAGTGTTTTGGTGCTGTGACCAACAACCTGATAATTATAGCAGGTGTCTCAAACATTCATGTAGAGACTGAAAGTAGCAGGCTTAGCACTGCATTTATTTAAATGCATTTAAACCCCCACCCCCGTATCTGACTACCAAATGTAGTAGTAAGACAGTCTGTGCTGGGTCCACATTTATAAGACAAATAAGAACTGCATGGAAGCACTTTAATTTGACACAATCAAAAACAGAATCTTGATCAGTGTTTTATTTCCAATGAAGACTTCATGTCATGTAAAAGAATGAATATAGAAAAGTAAGACAGGTTAAAAGTGTGGGAGTCCTTAAAACACTCTTAAGCATTACAGCATTATTACACTGATTGTCAGCTTCTGAATTTTTATTAAGTTCTTCTAATTTTTTAATGACTTGTGCATCTGATATTTCCATTGCTTCATCTGCTTCAGATAAATTCTTTCCAAAAGACAAAAGGAGAAAAAATGCTACCTTGGCTCCAGGCTGTGAACAATAGAAAAGGAGAAAATCATTGTTAAAAGGAGGGTTATTTACCTTCTGTTTATCAGGTTGAAATCTTTTAACCAAGCAAACACTGTAATACAATATTATTGTCACACACCTGCTTTACATATGCTTTTCCATAACGCACCCAAGTTACAAGATGTTCACAGTTGTTTTTAAGGAGATTATATTTTCCACAGTATTTCTTATCGGTCATGACTTTAATGCGCTTAATTATGTCATCTCGACTTGATGGTGTCAAGTTACTGTCCAGATAATTTTCTTTTGCATGTTCTCCCTGATCTTTGAGAGAACCGAAAACACAGTATTTACCATCAGTGGGCTTACCTGTAATGATTAGAAGAAACTGTTAAAAATACTTTATAATAATTTGACAGCAAGCCTGTTACCATTTCTAATTTTTTCATTTGCTTTTTTCCCCCTTATTTCCATTTGTATCATAAATGTAACTGCTATTTCTGTACTTCTACAAAAATAAGGAAAATGTGCATCGGATACAAGACCCCTTGCTATTATTCTGATTCACCTGTAGGTAACTCCTATTGGTTAATTATTTAAAATTATAATGATGTGCATTCACAAAGAATTTTTACATTATCTTAACATGCATGTTGTTCAGGGATTAACCGATTACTGTACTTCTCATATAGTTTCAGTTTAAATAATACATACGTATGCGGTGAAATATGTCCTTGTCCTTTCCTTGGCCAAATACATCGTCTGTACCCACATAAACAGCAAAGTGTTTGTAAACGTTGTCTATTTTGGCACATTTCTTTGGAAATGAAATGATATCTCCAAATGTGTACTGAAAATAGAAAAAATGGTTTTACCACCAGATACTGACTGCATAACAACAAAAACAGCAATATTTTCTCTACAAATAATAAAAGACTTGAATGAAGGTTTTTAATAATACATTTTTTATACATTCAGTAAAATACAATAACAACAGCACTGCAACAATAGCATGGGTTAAGCTTAAATTTAATTGTTGTTATTCCAGTAAAGTAAACTGAAAGATTAGAGGTCAGGATGTACCACAAAGCTTTTGTGGAATATCGCTGATAAAATGGCAGGTGTCCAGATCAGGTACTTTGTTAATACGTATTCAAACATAATATGAAGACTTCTCAACTGTAAACAGTAACTTCTAAAATTATTTAGACATTTTCATTTTTTTCCCAAGGTCAGATGTCACCATTTACTCTACTGCCACAACGCACCTCAACAGATGATGCTACTATTAATTTTTAAAATCGTGGATTTACAACATCCTTAAGGGACACTGAATGCACATTGAAGGAAAATTTTTAAAATAAAATCTAAACACAGTGAAGTTCACAAGAGTAAAACTGTGAATACTTTCTACTGATGCAGCTTGCAAAAGTATTCGTTTTTTAATTCCATCAAAAATTTTCTGCCTGTCTTTAAAAAAAAAAAAGCATTTTACATGTTACACTGGCAGTCTTACACAAATAAATATGTTTTAATGTGTCATATAATTCAGATTATACAAAACAGAAATAGAAAAAGTAAGAAGTTACTTACATCACCGTTAATCTCTACTACTGTGACCACCAGAAAGTGAAATGTCAAAGCAACCAGGATAAAATTCCTCATTTTTGTAAGAACAAAGAAAAGTTTTGATGTAGTACGTTTTACTTGCAAGGGGAGCGAAGTGGCAGAGTGCAGTGCTGCCACTCAGCTGTCCAAGCAACTCTAACTCCTCTGCCTGCCTCACTCTTTTATTGTAAACAAGGTAGGTCACCTAAGTTTCCAGAAGCTTCAAAATAATCCCATATAAGGCAAACACTTGATTGGTTATACAGTATCTTTTTCAAGCAGTACGTGACTTCTTCAGCATATTCAGTCCTTGCAGAACATGTCTTTGTGGTGAGATGAAGGGAACTGACAGAAACGGTCGCGGTTCCAGTTTCTCTTTCTTGCAGAACTCTGAGTTTAAAAGGTTACAACATGAAACAGTCTGGCAGGTTCAATAGGTCGTGTGTTAACAGTTTATAGGCACTTGTTTTTAATTTTTATTCTTTACACATAAATCGTTCTCATTAATGACAATTACTATCTCCAATTACTATCTCCACTGTCAGCTGAAGCCTTGTCAACATCAAGATGATTGGAGGATTATGTGTGTGTCTTTTTTAGGCACATGTTGTACTAGAGGACAGTATTTTCCTTCATGTATATATGCGCTGTTTTGTTTAAACGTACGCATATACGTGAAATAAATTTAAAGATTTCAGCTGGTGTCATGCTTGTTTGCACCTCCCTTGATCATGTATTCAATACTTTTTCCCTTTGTGTAATAATGACAAATGACATAGTTTAATTTATGGAGATCTATGGTTTCATCTCTTTATAAGTGTGGCCCAGATGGGTTGTTACTGACATTTGGTTAGAATTTCATGTCAATGGCATTTTTGGAAATGTATTTACTTAGAAAACTGGTGACGAGTTCAATACTTATTTTACCTGTTGTGCACCCTAGTGTCCTTTCATGTCTAAATATAGAAATAAATTTAAAGAAAACATTTCAGTAGAATTGTGGCCACTGACTGAATACACCTGGGTCTTTTATTTGGACAAATACATACTTTTTTGTACTTCTTCCTCCACCAGAGTGGTTCTAAATCAAACAATAGTGATGTGCGATACCACTGATTTCCTTTCCGATCCGATACCAACTAAAATTCAGGGTGGTATTGGCGATACTGATCCAATACTGTTACAGAGTATAGCATGGTGGAAAAGGATGGAGAGAATCCCCCACTAAGCTTTTGGGTTGGCATTACTTTAGATTTTGTTTTGTATTAATTGCATGCTTTGGTGTTTCTTTGTGTTTGATGTGAGGTGTGGGCCACACCCATGTGGGAGTGGAGATTCTACTCTAGTCCAG